TATCGACATTCTGCTCGTACGAACTAAACGGTTTTCTTTATTGTTCGTAATACATACAACATAGGAGTGAAAAATAAAGTCTTATAGGCGGGATATTTAATTATAATATTTTATAGCAGTCATGGCAGACCGGTTGACAACTGCAGTTTTTATTAATTTAATTGTTATCAAAAAGATGCTGCTGCATATAACCTTTACGCTTTTCCTTTTAAGACACTCACGGTCATCCCGTGGCAGTGGATGCTCTTATTTTTTCCGAGTTTGGTAGCGGCATAATAATGTATACCAGGTACGAAATACTCAGACAGGAAACAATGAACAGTGAAAAAATTGTGAACCATTTCGTACCTATTACAATCGCTCATCTATCAGCCAAGCGTAACGTGAAGAAAAATTAGGAAGCATTTGGATTAATAACGGAAGAAGCTCATATAGACAAAAAAACTAACAGTTTTCTTAAAATTCCTCTGGTCAGTCGCGATGCCCGGAAAGCATTTCGCATAAAGCCACTATCACGTGCTCACAGATTACCAGCGAATGATGCTGTGTTTCGTATGGTAAGTCTAGATAACCGGAGACCCTTTTTACTTGAAACAAAGCATTCCATTTTAGTACTCAGGAGTGACAATGCATCTACATTTTGATTCTTAATTGAGGATAAATGTAGACGGCTACGAGCCACAGGTGGACTGTATGCTTATTTGTCGTATTCCATAAAAAAAGAAAAAAAGAAAAAAGAAATGATAATGTTGGATTAGATAAGTGTTGATTTTATTTTGGAATCCTAATGAGATCTTCCAATGTTATACCAAAATCTCTTACTACTAAGCTATTCTAGTCTAGTAATATAATAACTTGATGCGTTTCAAATGAACAAAGTCCCGGGCAATTGTTTGTTGAATTCGCTTATCGTCTAGTTGCAGGCCAAATATTATGGGAATTGATTGCACTAAAATTTCAATTAATTGCCACGTGCGTGTTATTAATTGACCGTTTAGGTTCTGAAATGGTATTTATGACGCCGATGATCCAGGAACGAATCGTTTAGAAACCGCTACTGTTACAGCTTATTAAAGTCCGCTGCAGATTTTTCTATAGAATAAAAAAAATCTGCAGTGGACTTTGTGGAATCGAGGACAGCTGTGTACTCGCTTGTTACCCAAGCGAGTACACTGTCCTCAATTAAGAATAAAAATGTAGATGCTTTGTCACTCCAGAGGACTAAGATGGAATGTCTTGTATCCTTGTGTATAGTAAAAAGAGTTTCCGGTTCTCTACACTCCATACGAAATACAGTTAGGAGTGAAAATATATGGTAAATTTCATGAATATTCGTGACAAAAGTACATTCATTATTTTTAATTACTTACGCAAATGCTTAAAAATGGTCAGATAAAGATGGTACAAATCCTAAAGCACCTACGTTTTGCTATGTGTTTGTATTACACCATTAATTTGATATTACTTCAATGTGGAGCTAGCAAATTTCCGTATATTCCGTATAAAGTAATAAATAGAATAAAACTAATTGTACGGATTTTATCGCGTTTAATTTAATTTATTTAATGATCTAATAATCAGATTTGATAGACCACGAATTCTTGCAAAAGAACACCGATTCCTGCTACTTTATGCCAGTATTCTGTGAGAGCCTGGCCCTTCCCTGGTCGAGTCGAACTATTTGTGCTCATATGTTCGTGAACATAGGCCTCCCCCGTAGGTTGCCTCATAGGAGGAATATTTGCCATAGTTGCCACGCTTTGCTCGCGGGTTGGCTTTGGGGTAGTGGATATTCTTCTACCGCTACTTCACGATAAATGCTTACTTTCCTCTCTTTTTACCTTTGCTTACACGATATTGTTGTAAACAAAGGTAAAAATAAAATTATTAGTAAGTTATAGGCTATTAGCATCCCACTGCTGGTCACAGGCCTCTCCCCATTTCTAAGGGGGTTATGGAGAAATTATTCCACCGTGCTATTCAAGTGCGTGATGGATGAGTTTATAACATAACATAACATAAACACTCACGCCTGTCACCCAGAGGGGTAGGCAGAGACTACAGACTTCCATTTGGCACGATCCTGACACACCTCTCTTGCCTCCTTTACATCCATACACCTACGCATACATGCTCGTCGGTTAAGGGTACTCCTAATTTGGCCCGTTTTCAATAAATCGCCAATTTGGTCGATAAATTTTCGCCTAGGACGTCCCTTTCCAACTCTGCCATTCACTTCTGCACCATAAATTTTCTTTGTCACTCTTTCCTCATTCATTCTTTCCACATGACCAAACCACCGAAGCATTCCTTTCTTAATCCTGGTCACAACATCATCTTGCAAACCACACTCTTCTCTTATTACACAATTTCTTACCCTGTCATTCAGATTCAGCCCTAACATACTCCTTAACGACCGCATTTCTACTGCGTTTATTCTACTCTCGTGCTTCTTCTGCCACACCCAACTTTCACTACCATACGTTAAAGTAGGGACCAACACAGCATTGTGAATTGCCGTACGTGCCTTTTTCGACACATTTTGACTCTTCACAATAGAGTGCAAGGCCCCATTTACTCTATTTCCCGCATTCACTCGTCGTGGATGAGTTTATATTTGTCGTTAATGTTTTTAATAATTACAGATTTCCTCAAAGCATATTGCAAAATCAAAATGAATATATGTATGTTCCACAAATTACATAGATATCAGCTTCATATATAATAAAGTCTACACTGTGGGTATACCAAGCACGATATTTTTTGCATACCAATTAAATTATGTACCTACAAAAGAACTGTATGAAATGCGAATATGAAATATACATAACATTAGTGGATAGAAAATTTGACTAAAAACATAGGGATGTCGGAAATCTAATTATGACACAGGAATATTGAATAAAGACTTCTAAATTTTTAATCGACGAAAAAATTAATATTTAAAATTGAAATTAGCACTTTCATAGGTACTGGCGGGGATCGAATCTGGGTTGCTCACGAACTGTAAAATCTAATGCGAGCACTTAGACTTTGAGCTATAACGATTCACAGCCTGCAGCTGTGCGTTCACTGCTATATGCTGATTTGAAGGGGCGCCGGTATGATTGCAGGCAATAAGGCGTTCAATCTTATTTTTTTTAATTTTGTACGGTTAACAAACAAGTACACAGTCCACCTGATGATAAAAGGATGCTGAGGTCTATAGACATAATCATCTATTCTCGAATAAAAACTGAAATGCCAATGCGTTGCAAACTGCTAGCTAGGAGCTTACATGGAATACCATGTTTCCGGTTAAAAGGAACTCCGATTTTCTGCACTCACTTTACGAAATCCATGATCATTAAGTTGCTATTTTACGCCGGTATTCTGTGAGAGCGCATTCCTTCCCCGGTCGAGCCAACACATTTTGTAGCACACAAGCATAATATGACCTGAATAACTGCAGCGTGGATCCACCCGTAAAAAAAACCACTCCACCCTCAGAGCTAACTCAGTTGCAGATATCCATGGACTTCATAAGCCACTTATCAACAGATAGACTGAAAGTTTGTTCGTCACCACTTTATAAAAAATAGGATTGAATAAGATTTTAAATGCTTTAAATATCAAGTTCTGTGTGCAATGAAATCTTTAAATACGCCACAAACCTTAAACAAAACATCGTTCCATTAATCCGTATAAAATACACTTTACATTACCGAAATGAAGTTAATATACGTAGCAAAAGATATAACAGTCTTCGGAGGCGCAGTTACTGTTAAATTCATGGCACATTACTCTATGTTCAATTAAGCACTGGGGCCCCTGGAACGAGCTAATAAATTGTGCGCTATGGAAGCATTACCACGCGAACGCGTACCGATGCCATGTTTATGAGACTTTAAAATTTCCTCGACTCTTAATAAGTTTGAATAATAGAGTTTGTCTGATGTTTGTAGACCACTCTTACTGGTAACGCATCTGAATTTTGGTTTTTAATCGAGGATAACCGTGGATGTCTACAGGCCACAGCAACTACTTACTGTGAAATGGACTGTGTGTTGCTTGTCATCTTTATTCTATAAAAAAAAGGAAAAGTTAAGGAAGTACCTACCCAGCCAGGCAGAAAAGTGTTCTACGCTCGTTCTATAAAATGCCAGAAAAAATCGCCTTTAGAGAGGACGGTGAAACTACCTTGTTTATGCGAGATGTAAGATGTTCAGAGTGGCGATGGTAAGAGTGACGACGTTTGTTTATCATTTCAAATTTATAAAAAGGTATGGAAATTTGTTTTAGATTTACTACCTGAAAATATAGCACTATATGTTTTATACGTGGTAGAGCCATGCTGCAGTTATATTAGTAGTATAGTTGCAGCACGTATGGGTCGGCTCGACCGGGGGAGGACCACGCTCTCACAGGATACCAGCGTAAAATAGTAGTTTAATGCTGTTGTGTTTCGTATGGTGAGTGTACGGATCCGGAGGCTCTTTTTTCTGGAAACAAGGTATTCCATCTTGGTACTCACGGGTGGCAACGCATCTGCATTTTCATTCGTAGTAGAGGATAGATGTAAATATCTATGGGCCGCAGCAACCACTTACCATCCGGTGGACCGTGTACTCGTTTGGCATGCTATCCTATTGAATAAAAATGTAACAAAAACCCTGTAGTTCCCGTTAAGTACGTTATCAGAATCAATATTCATACGTATAGAAATAACTTTACTTCAGAAAACTCGAATATGAAAATTATTAAATTTGAATAAAATTTTATTTGCAAATTGCATCTGGTTTTATTACCTCTAACTGACACACGTATCGGTAATCCTTTTTATCGTCTTTGGGTTTTTGACAATACTCCAATGCAGAGCTAATAATAACATGAATAGTATTAAAAGTCCCCCTGGACTTCTATGCAATAAGTATTCTAGTGATCTACATTGAATAAAAATGATTCTATTCTATTCTATTCTAAAAATATTATTATTGGAATCCATTGTGTAATCCACTTACCATCCAGCATCTCCTTTCCGTTGAAGTACCACACGACTTTAGGCTGTGGTTTGCCCTCGTTCACAACGCAGCTTACGTTGATCCTTGTCCTCTCCAAGAGTGGTCCGAAGACAGCACCGTCTGCCAGGACCTTCCCATCGCCAGTCCTCACTTCCACTGATTTTGGTTTAACTGTGGACAATGGAAATCATGGTTACTATTGGTTACTACTGACATGAACTAATCACGCGACGCGTGCTCCTCAAAATATTACGATTAAATATTATTATATATTTGTTTTCGTTACTATGGACGACACCATGACACAGTTTCTTAGCATTTAATTGCGGAGCTAATGGCCGCGGGTTCGAATTCCGGACTACAAATAATATTTCCAGGTGTGGATGTTTATCCTTGTGCAACTTATGCTTGTAAACTGCCTCCACGATACAGGTAAAAAATCCTAGTGTGGAGGTAAAGTTTTTTAATAAAAAGAAAGTAATTATTACACAGTATTTGACTATAATCCTTCATGGCGGTAAGTGTTGTTTAAGTTTTATATGGTAAATCCACTACCTTAGCGTCTTTCATTTCTTACATTTTACGAGTATGTGAATACTACTCATTCACTGACCTCTATTATACAAGTACACTGGACTAGAATATACCATACACCGTGTGATAATGGGGTGATTCGATTGGCGAACATTTTGGCGCTGATAGCAGAAGTGAGCGTCCGCGAAACTAATAATTGAGATAGGACTGTGTTACAAAATATATCGATATAAATCAGGGGACATACAAGAGCACACATAAAGGATTCCTACCATTTTGTCAGCGAGATTAAAGACCTATATAAAGATTTTGCCAGGGGGTTTTCATGCTGGTCTACCTTTCCGGTGATCCTGTTATGGAATACGGGTACGCGACCCCGGCTCCCCGAGCTACTGTTATTCTCATACCTTTCCTGCCGAGATAAAAGTATCCTTACACTTGCGCTCCTACCCCCAACCTTCTTTTTCCTTTTCCCAAAATGGTAGCTTCCTCTACCAACAATAGCATACCCAAAGAGGGTTGGTGTCAGGCAGGCGGCCGACTGTAAAACTTTTGCCAAATCCCATGCAGTAAACCTATGAATATTACGAGTTGTGGGATATGACAGGGCTAGGGCGTACCCCGCAGGCGACGCGCAGGGGCAGCACCCGGCTCCTGTGGGAAGTGGGCAAGGGTTGTCGCACCTTACGGAGCGGGTGCGACGTAAGAGGCGAGCCCGGAGAGAGAAGAATGTCAGAGTGAGGTTTGCAAGCTGGAATGTAGGTACGATGACTGGAAGAGGAAGAGAGTTAGCAGATGTTTTGAAACGACGAAGAGTGAATGTTGCCTGTTTGCAGGAAACAAAATGGAAGGGCAATAAAGCAAGAGAGATTGGGGAAGGATACAAGTTTTATTATTGTGGAAGTGATGTGAAGCGAAATGGAGTAGGAGTTGTGTTAGATAGTGGAATGAAAGAACGAGTGACAGATGTGAAAAGAGTAAATGACAGAATGATAGTTGTTAAATTAATGATTGAAAACAAAGTAGTGAATGTTGTAAGTGTGTATGCTCCGCAAACAGGCTGTGAAGAGAGTGTGAAAGAGAAGTTTTGGGAGGAATTTGATTGTATGATGATGGGAATACCTGAGAGTGAGGATGTTTATATGGGAGGAGATTTTAATGGACATGTAGGGAGAGTGAATGACGGGTATGAAAGAGTACACGGTGGATGGGGGTATGGAGTGCGGAACCGTGAGGGGGGAAGTTCTTCTGCAAGCAGCATGTGCTTTCGACCTGGCTGTAGTAAACACGTGGTTCCAAAAACGAGATCAGCATCTTGTTACTTATAAAAGTGGCCACCACGCGACACAGATCGACTATCTTCTGATAAGACGGAACCAAATCAAGAGTGTAAAAAACTGCAAAGTGCTTCCAGGTGAAGACTTAGTATCCCAGCACCGAATTCTGCTGGCTGACATCTGCTTAACTGTTCGCCTCAACAAACATAAGGATCGTCCCCCACCCAAAATAAAGTGGCATTTGTTGCATAAGGAGGAGTATGCAAGTGAATTTAGAGAGCTAGTTGTAAACAAGATGATAGAGATGGGTGATATGGAAGGAATGAGTGTGAATGAGTGCTGGAAGGAAATGGCTGATTGTATCCGAAGTGTGGCAAGGAAGGTGTTAGGAGAAACAAAAGGGAAGCGTATGATAGATAAGGATGGGTGGTGGTGGAGTGAAAGTATTAGAGAAGTTTTGAGAGAAAAGAAAAATGCCTTTAAAGAATGGCAGAGCGTAGAAGACCAGAATGATTCCATAAAAGAAAGTAAGAGAGGGGCGTATAAAGAATGTAAGAAAAGAGCAAAGAAGGAAGTTGCTATTTGTAGGGCAGAGGCGCAAGATAAATTATATCGGTCCCTTGAAAGCCCCGAAGGTCAAAAACGACTTTTTCAAATTGCAAAAGCGAGAGAAAGGAATGGAAGAGATGTTTCACATGTAAAATGTATAAAAAATGATTCTGGAAGGATTTTGACTGACGATGAAAGTATAAAGAAGCGATGGAAGGAGTATTTTGAGAAATTGATGAATGAGGAGAATGAATGGAATGGTATGCTTGAAAACCCACCAGTGAATATGGGCTTAGTGAGAGAAATTAGTGTGGAAGAAGTAAAAATGGCTGTTAGGAATATGAAGAATGGGAAGGCGGTCGGCCCAGATGGAATACCAGTAGAAGTGTGGAAGTTGCTGAGTGCGGATGGATGGAAGTGGTTGAGTTTATTTTTCGGTAAATTGTTGCAGGAAGAACAAATACCTGAGGAATGGTGCAGTAGTATACTGGTCCCCATTTTTAAAAACAAAGGAGACGTTCAAAACTGCAGCAGTTACTGGGGAATAAAACTCATGTCACATACGATGAAAGTCTGGGAAAGAATAATAGAGAAAAGAATGAGAGAAGAGTGTGAGATAACACAAAACCAGTTCGGATTCATGCCCGGTCGAGGTACGACAGATGCCATTTTCGCATTACGCCAATTGTGCGAAAAGTACAAGCGCGTGCATAAAAATCTGCACATGGTTTTTGTCGACCTTGAAAAGGCGTACGATCGGGTTCCCCGTGAGGTTTTGTGGTGGGCGTTAAAGATGAAAGGTATGCCTGGGAAGTATGTGAGGTTAGTCCGTGCTATGTACAGAGCATCCCGTACATGTGTACGATCTGCCGCGGGAACTACGGGCAGTATCGATGTGGCGGTAGGGCTGCACCAAGGGTCAGCATTGAGCCCTTACCTCTTCCTACTGATTATGGACGCTTTGACGTCGGACCTGCAGGATGAGGCACCCTGGTGCATGCTCTTTGCCGATGACATCGTGCTTGTCGGGGAAGAAGGCATCGAGGTACAGAGCAGACTGACGGGGTGGCAACAGAGGCTGGAAAGTGTTGGCTTGAAGATCAGCAGATCCAAAACCGAATATCTGTGCTGTGATTTCGGCGGTCTTTCCAGTCCTGTACCCATGTCGTTGGATGGCGCTATACTGCCTACCTGTTCAGAATTCAAGTACCTCGGTTCCCTCATACAAGGCGACGGCGGAATAGATAGAGCTGTGCAGCATAGGATTAACGCAGGGTGGATGAAATGGCGACAGGTCACAGCCACAACGTGCGATCCCCGAATGCCAATAAGGCTGAAGGGGAAAATTTACAAATCGATCATCCGACCTGTCGTCATGTATGGAAGTGAATGCTGGGCCGTCAAGAAGAAGGATGAAAATACACTGCATGCGAATGAAATGAGAATGTTACGATGGATGTGTGGTGTGACAAGGATGGATAAGATAAGGAATGAGTATATAAGAGGAAGCCTGAAAGTAGCGCCAGTGGTAGAAAAGGTGAGAGGAAGCAGATTGGCATGGTTTGGGCATGTGATGCGGAGGGATGAAAGTCATGTCACAAAACGAGTGTTGAATATGAATGTGGAGGGACACACGGGCAGAGGAAGGCCGAATAAAAGATGGATCGATTGTGTGAAGAGTGATATGAGAATGAAAGGAGTAAGTATGGAAATGACGGCTGATAGAGAGGAATGGAACAAGAAGATTTACTGCGCCGACCCCAGATAATGGGAAATGGTTTAGAGAATGATGATGTCAGCGAGATTAAAGACCTACATCTGGCAGACAATGAAACTATGGTCAGTTTTGATGTGCAATCATTGTTTACATGCTTACCTGTTGAAGACTGCATTTCAATTGTAACTAGAAGGCTGGAAGAAAACAACATGCCCGTAGAATATGCAGTATTACTCAGACACTGCCTTACATCTGGCTACCTATTGTGGAAGGAGGAGTTCTACAAGCAAGTAGATGGTGTGGCGATGGGCTCACCTGTATCTCCCATTGTCGCCGACATATTCATGGAAGACTTTGAGGAGAAAGCCCTGCTTACTTCTCCCATAAATCCAAGATTCTACAAGCGGTACGTAGATGACACTTTCACAATTCTACCTTTGGATAAAGTAACTGAATTTTTAGACCATCTCAACTCTATAAATTCTAAAATTCAGTTCACAATGGAGTTAGAGGCAAACAATTCTTTAGCTTTTCTAGATGTGTTAGTAATTCGGAATCCTGATAACATCTTGAGCCATACTGTATATAGAAAAAAGACCCATACAGATAGATATTTAAACAGTGATTCTCACCACCATCCTTCACAGTTAGCTACTGTGGGTAAATCTTTGTTTCAGAGAGCACGAGGGATCTGTGACAGTAAACACCTGGCTGTCTCGCGCCTACGTCACAGTGAACGAGTAAAGCCGGCCACAGTCGAGCGTGTACCTGCTGTACTGCCATATGTTAGAGGAGTCACTGACAAGATTGGCTACATCTTGAAGCGCGCTTCCATCAAAACATACTTCAAGCCGCCGAAGAAGATTGGTCAGTTTTTACCATCAGTCAAGTGTAACGTCCCTCTGCAAGATGTAGGAGTGTACAAGCTTGATTGTGAGTGTGGTCTCTCCTACATAGGACAAACTAAAAGATCAATTAAAACCCGCGTTAAAGAACATATAGCTGATGTGAAGAATCGACGCTCCGGGAAGTCTGCAGTCTGTGAACACGTACAGGATCGCCCCCGTCACTACATCAGATTTGATAGACCACAA